CCCTGGAATCCTCCCCAGAGCTCCTGTTTTTGGGACTAATGATGCCCAGAAGGCAAAAAGCAAGCCAAGCCCTCACTTGTTTCCCTGTGTTGTCCTTTGCTGGATATCAAGTCCCTGTGTTCCCTGGCCACTTTCCCGTGTATTAGCCTCCTCATCCTTGTTCTCACCAGCCCTCCCCTCCATGGAGCTCTGCTTGTTGTTTAACCCCTTGGCTCCCTCTCCATTCCTCCTCCATCATTACATTGTCTGGGGCACGGGTTCCTCTGCAAAGTCTTCCTCATCTCCCCCCATCCCAAAGCAGCTGTGGGGATCTGACCTGCCTTCTCCTCCTCCTCCTCCTCCTCCTCCTCCTAAATCCTTGCCCAGAGCCACTCCTGCCCTTACAGCTGGAAGGAGGGAGCCAACAGGTAGAGAAGAGGCAGGGTTCAGACCAACATCTCGTCACTGCTAATGCAGGTGGCCTGTGCTGGTAGCCCTCATGTGGGGGTAATTCCACTTTCTTCAGCCTTTCTGCGAGTGGAGCCTACACCTGCTGCCAGTGCTCGTTAATGCTGATTAGGCTGAGTAATGAGACTCTTGTGTGCACATCTAAGGGGCAGCAAAGCCCAGAGGGACAAGGAAGGAAGAAATTGCCTTTGCAGATAGCTGTGCTGTTTCCTCTTTGCAGCTCTCAAGATGGTTGTGGAGGGAGGGCAGAGCTTGCTCGGAGCTCAGGAGGAAGTTAGTCTGGCAGATAACCTCATGTGTGGAGTCAGAGGCTCCTTTTCTGGTGTAGAACTGGAGATTTTTGGCTTTGCTGGCCCCAGCTATGTTTGCAGCGTGACTGAGAGCTGCGGCGCAGGTGGGACACAGCAGGGAGAGAAAGAGGTCAAGCTTTATTCCTGGATACCCATCCCCTGGCACAACAAAGGACTGCGGACATCTGTGTGTTGTGACTCAGGCAGGTAAGCTCATGGTTTAGCAGAGATTTCTTGTCCCAGGAATGGCTGAGATCCCAGGAAATATATGTGAGAATTTTTCATGGTCTTTTTTTTTTTTTTTTTTTGCTAGCCTCTGGGCAGCTGGTAGAAGAGGATATTTCTAATTCGCTTTATAGGATTTTAGATGCGCAAGAGAACCACAGCACATCAAAGAGGAATGAATGCTGTAATTCCCCTGAAAGGTCGGGGCTTTTACAGAGCTCTTTATTGCCATTAAGCTCTTTAGGGAACGCCGTATTCCGTCTATTGCAGACTTGGTGGTGATAGCATGATATTCAATGCCCATCCATCCCTATTACTGTTTCAGCCTCTGGGTAATGATCCAGATCCTCAAAGGCTGTTAAGTGCCTGATTTAGTTTGAAACCCTTGGGAATTTGGCATCTAAATCTTTAAATACTCTGCATTAAGGTCTGCCCTGCAAAAGCTGACTTCTATGTGCTTTACCTTAGCAGTCTCTGTGTGTATCTAATGGTGCGTGGAGGTACTCACATTCCCCGTGGAGGCTTCCCTATTGTGTCGTGTGTGGCTGTGGTTGTGCTCTTCTCATCCGAGAAAGGGCAGGTTGGGGTAGCAGCAGGACTATTGCAAGTTGGTGGTCACTAAGCGGCAACCCAAGAAGACACCCTGAGCAGAGTGATGGTGCAGGTCAAGGGGCAAAAGACCTGGCCTCTATCTCCAGAAACACAGAATAGAATCATAGGATTGTCTAGGTTGGAAGGAACCTCTAGGATCATCACCTGACACTGCCAAAGCCATTGCTAAACCATGTCTGTGGGCACCATGTCTACCCATCTTTTAAATACCTCCAGGGATGGTGATTCCACCACTTCCCTGGGCAACCAGTTCCAATGCTTGACAACTCTTTTGAAGAATTTTTTCCTAATAAAAACTGAGGGAGGCTTCAGCAGCAATGAGAACTGGCAGGTGGAAAATGCCTACCAAAACTCTGCCGTTGGGAGGAGCATTTCTGATGATAGCTGAGTTTTCAGTGTTGGTTTTCAACCAGAGCAGAAATGGGTGGCTTTAAATGGGACAGAAGTTTAGCAAATGCTGCACCCTGAGGAAAACCAAGATGTGTAAACAATATGGATTAAACAGAGACCAGAAAAAGTTGCTGAAAAAAAATAGGCTAGTTTGGGAATGATTTAGCCTTTTTCTGATTTTTGGAGACTGTGTCCTTGATAAAGAACCACGCCCTGCTGTGGAGCTGATATAAAATGAAGTACAACTAAAAGCTCTGGGCAAGGCAACAGGTGTTGTCAATTAAAGAGAATTATCCAGTCTCAGGGGGTCTTTATGGGAAGTGAATGATACGCTGACAGTAAAGGGAATTCAGACTACTACAAGTTAAGTTTCCAGCAGAAAGACGGCGCTTCAACTGAGACCCTGTTTAGGAACTTAAAAATTTAAGCAAATAATCTTAGAGATGTTATACTGACCTCAAATGAGCAACGGCACTGAGAAAGATGTTCAGACATTTCTGTATATGGCAAAAATACTGTCGATAGCAAAATAAAGGGAGGTGTGAAGCTGTGGCTTGTTGGAACAAAAAACCTAAAATAAGCTATGCACTGAGCCTGCGCTTTTCCTCCTGTTTCTCTGAAGGAGTCTTGGCAAAAGATAGTACTGTTAACAGCTCTGCATATGTGACAGGCATTTTCATGACAAACATTTCAGGTGGCGTGGAAAGGTCTGAGAGTGTGTTGTGGGTTGGTGGGCATGGGTTTTTGGGATTTGCAGGGATGTGCAGACCTTTGAGGAATAAACTATGTTCTCCAAATGAGGGGCTTTTGGAAAAGGGTGGCAGAAATGTGAAGTGGCCAGCCTGGTTGAGAAGTCAGAGCCTAATCCATGTGTGCTGCTGCATCATTTAACATTGACCTGCCAAGAAGGTGGTGTTAGCTGTTAGGTGCCCGTGTCAGTGATTTACAGATGAATAAGGAAATAGATGAGGTAGGAGGAAAACACAGTACAATTGGGCCCTGGGAAGGCTCGCTATGTTCATGGCCATGTCCAGAATGGGAAACAATGACCAGGACAAGTGTCTTACATCCTGTGGGTAGTGCCACAGTGTTGATGGCACTTATCACAGCCTCTTGAGAGGAATATCCTTTGGGAAAGCCTCAAAGAGATCACACACAGAGCAATGATGATTGCTGTGCCCCAGGATGATCAAGAGCCTGAGTAAATTGACCAACTGCAGCTGACAGTGTCATGCTGGTGGTCTTGGTGAGACCTGCAGGTCCCCATCCTAGTTGACTGAACACTGCCCATTTGTAGGTTCCAGATACATCATTTTATTTTGGGCACAGGACTTGGCTGCACAAGCAGAAGTGAATGCTATGGGATACCTGGGGGTACCATGGTTGGACTCGATGATCCCAAGTGTCTTTTCCAACTGAACAATTCTATGTAGGGCCATCAAGACAGTGCAGGACTTGCAGGAGAACCACAGTCTTGTGCAGCAGGAGCTGAAGGGGTGGTGACACCCCATCATGCCTACCGTAGCATTAGGGACTGTTCTATTGGTGACCGAGTCCTTCCCTTGGGAGACTTTGGTGCTGGATTAAGATGTATGCATTGAAGTATCTCCATGTGTGGCTGGTGTCTAGGGTCCTGTTACATCCCTGGAGACCTACACAGTATGGAGGCCAGGGTCACTCAGCTGGGATATCTCTGTTTCCATAAGCTGAATCACTTTCCATGGATTCCAATGCCTGGAACAGGAACTGGGAGACCCAGTGCTCCTGGAGACAACTCTACTCATCACTGGATAGATCCCTGTATTGCCGTGATGTTGACAATTCAATTTTTATTACCATTGGATTGATTAGGGGAAACATATGTGTGTTGCAAGAGGCAAACTCTTGCAAATTCAGTTGCAAGGGGCACTTTGAAGTGTGGGTTATGTTGTGTTCCTCTGAAATGGAGATGGCTGTCCCAGGGTCAGAGCCTGGAGAAGCAGAGTACTCTGGGATGCTCCAGCTTGGACCAACCATGAAGCTTGTCATTCTGAATGGTAACACCAGTGAGTGCCAGGAAAAGCTGCTCACTAGACTTGATGAAGTCATAGTAGAGCTCCAGCTGGAGGGGCAATAGGTGTGTGAGTGTGGAGACAGGGACCAGCAACACCAGTTACTGCTGTTCATGCTGCAGGTTGTGCTGTTTTCCCAGGATAACTCTTTGTATTCACATTGCTTAATTGGTACAGTGTAATCTAAAACATTTACCCCCTATTGTGGGCAGAATTTTCCGGCATCCTTAGCCTCACATACCTTTTAAATATGGATCTTAAATCATCCCAGAGGCTTTGTGCTGGGGTGAATTTTAACCTGGATGCCTGAGAAGGGTTCTTTTTCTACCCTTGGAAGCATCAGCATTTGAGTGACTGAGTGGATGGACTGATAGTGGGAATTAGGAGAGCAAGCCCTGATTCCACAACATGCCAGGAAGAAAAATCGAACAAGGGTAGTGTAACATCATAGCCTGGTTCTGCTTTTCATCTTGGCTGTTCTTCAGGGGAAAAAAAGAGCAGAACAGCAGACTTTGCTGGAAAGCATGTTCATTTTCACAGCTTTTTTTGTATGCTCATCTGCAGTTTTGGGATATAGTGCTCCAAATGAAGGTGGAACGTATCCTTAACCTCTCCCCAGATCCAGACAATGTGTATGAAAACATATACACCTACTTGTATTTTTCCTTATGGCTGAAATAGTCAGAGGACGCTTTACTGCTTGACTTCATCTTCTCTTCCCTGAGAAGTTTCAGACTTTTTCAGCAACAAATGAGTAGTTACTAATGACAGGTGGGTTGGAATACTTTCTCTCCCACTCTATTTGCATCTAAAATCTTTGTAGTGGATAGCTCTGTAAACATTTCTCTTATCGTTTACTCTGAAGCACATGCCCAAGACTCAAGGGCTTTCATAGAAAACAGAGATTTCTTGCTTTCTAAGTCACCCTGGGAGTGTTCCATTACGATGTCAAACACACGCACACACAAAAACCACAAGTAAAGAATTTGTTGCTAGCAAAATGTCTGTATTAAAATACAAAGAAAACTTTCCTGTTGGGATCAGTAATTAATAGACTCTTTTTTTGTATTGGTACTAACAGCACTCCAAGTTCCATTTTCCAAACAGACCACGATGTTCTTGAGGAATAAATTCCACCACCGTCATTCTGAACCTCAGCCTGAAAAACAAAGACGTCAAAGACAACGGTACCATGCACCCTAGCAATATTCCAGCAGCATTACACTGGTTTACTGCAGCGTGTCCCGTCGGGTGTGGGTTATATCTGGACACTGCTCGGTGATGGCAAGCTCACAGGGCTTCCTATTGTGTTTGTGAAGGCAATGATTGCATTGGGGCCCTTGGAGTTCTTGTTCATACCCAGGATGTCCACGCTGGTTTGCTCTGCTTCGGTTTTCCTGAAGATGTTTTTCATGGTTGACTGAAAGTTATTGGTGACAAAGCAGTAGACAATGGGGTCCATGCAGCTGTTGAGGCTACTCAGAGTCACCGTCACATGGTAGACGAGGAGGCTGGCATCATGGGCCATGCCTGTGTTGATGGAGATTGCTACCTGTCGCACGTGAAAAGGAGTGAAGCAGATCATGAAGATGATGAGGACGGTGATAAGGAGTTGCACAGCCCTCATTCTCCTCTCCCGACTCTGGTGCATGAGGCTGGGCTTGGACAGAGCACACATAATCCTGGTGGTGAAGAAGATGATTATGATGAGGGGGAAGAAGTACTCGCAGACCATCAGGACGAGAATCTTGGAGAGGCAGCACTCAGCAAACTTTATTGCCATGGTCAGGATAGAGAAAGTCACTGCAGTGGCAAAGATCCAAATGAAGACACAGATGCCCTTGGCACAAGTGGGGTTCCTCCACTTACGTGAGGCCTCCACCTGTACAATTGCCAGATAGCGGTCAACGCAGATGCACGTCAAGAAGAGGATGCTGCAGTACATGTTGACAAAGTAGCCAAAGATATGAACCAAAGAACAATTTAGGCAGTCCCCTGCACTATAGAACATGATGATCCGGACAGGCAAGGAAAAGCCCACCAAGAGATCAGTAACAATCAAGTTGATGGTGTAAATAACAGAGGTGGTTTTGTTCTTGGTACGGAAGCAGAAGACATACAGCGCCAAGCTGTTCAGCACGACTCCCACCAGGAAAATGATGGCATTGACTATCATCAGGGCAATCCACAGACTGTAAAATTCTGTGTACAGTTCTTTGTCAGGGTGGATGAACTTGGAGAACAAATAGATGCTGGAGTTGGGTTCCTGGGTGGAGTTCATAGAGTCAAGGGCTGGCAGTTGTGTGGAAGAGGTTGGCATGGTCGCAGACTTCCCAGCGATCTGGAAGAAAAGAAACATAGGTATATTGATGGTTATGTCAGCATTTGTGAGGACTCAAAATATTGTCACCTAAGAACATTTAACCAACGTATTGTACATCTTCAGTAGTTGTATATACTGCTGTACTCTCAGTGTCTCATCTGCCAATATTGAATTGCCAAAAATTTCTAGGAAGATACCTGGGTATATAATTAATGCTTTCAGTGGTTCTAGATGCATATTTTGTAGACACACAATCCTCGCTTCCGCTGCCCTGTGGTTTTAAGGCCTAAGCAAGAACAGAGAAGTGAACTGTGCCAAGAGGAGCAAAGGAGAAGGGAAAGTTGGGGGGATCAACACATGGCCATGTTTGGGCCAACCATGTGGCAAATGGTCCAGAGAAACAGGGTCTCTGAGAAGACAGGGTTCCTGAGTCCAAGCAGGGTGCTTTGATGCTCATGGAGGGCACAGGCCATTTTCTGCTGTGACAGGGAGGGTCAGATCATCATGAGGTTCCTACCAGGTCTTGTTTCCTGAACATGGCACTTATTCTTTGGAGTTCTTCCTCTATTGGAGCAGCTTTTTCCTGACTGGAGGCTCTTCCTGCCCTGCCATAGGAGCAGGACAGTGCTGGCAGCTAGAAGATGTTTGCCCAAACTATTGGTGCAACCATAGCCCCAGTGTCTGACTCCTAAAATACCACATCCCCTTCCTTGGCCAGGTGATCCCATCAGAGAGTGATAGGCAGCAGCATTTTCAGGAACTGTAAGACTTTCCTAAATTCAAAGGATGGCTGAATTTTCTAAGAAAACACAAGCAGGTTGTGTGGCATATTCTAGAGATCTGTACATGCAGCAACACCAGCCGGGAGATTTCAAACCAAGGGCGTCAGCGATGACTCCTGCCAGGGTTTGACAGTTTAATTTGCAAATCATTCCTGACTTACACACTATTTTAAACTGATTTGTATATTACAAAGATAAAAAAGCGCCCAATATATACAGAGACTTGGCTGGTTTCAATAAAAATAAATGGTTGAAAAATGTCTGGAATATCTCAAAGTGGCTGAGCAGGACTTTGAGGTTAAAAAATATCAGCTTGAATCAGCAGAGAATGATGCTGAAAGACTTGAGTTATGAGAGTTTGAAATCCCTGCTACCAGAGAGCCAAGTGTGGAAGGGCTAGGAGACAAGGAGCTGCAAACATCTTCCAGGGCTCACAGGAACCTCAGTGTGCCTAGGCTGTGTGTCTCGATGAGGAAGGCTTGAATTGCTAAGAGAGTATGGATATCCAGTTCCCCCAGTCATGTCCCATCCTCTGGCAGCTGGACTTCTGGCTGCACTAATCCTTTTTACTGCTTATGGGTATTGGGAGGATGGACCCAAGGAGTCCCGTTGCCTGTGAGATGCTTCAAGGTGTTGGTGGCCACGTACAGAGCAGAGGAGGAAGCTACCTAGAAGGTCAGAAGCCTTCCAGTGAAAAGTGGATCCTTGGGAGAGTTTCTGCTGGCCAAAAACAAATGTTTTGCAGGGGTAGTCCTAACCAGGTCCAGAGAGCATCACAGCAGCTCTGACCCTGCCTGACAAGGCCTTTTCCTGCTCAGCCACCAAAAGCTTTCTTGTTGGGCTAATGAACTACAAATCCCTGCCAGCCATACCTCTCAAGCTCTTGAACTCCTCCACGCCTCCTGACAAAAGCAGAAGGCTTCCAGCTCCCTGGAATAAAGATCTGGGGAAGTGAGATTTGGGATAAGAGATTCCCAAGTCTGTGCATTTGCTGGACACAGCGCTTCTGAGATGTCTCCCCAGTGCCGAGCAGAGGGGAAGGGTCTTCTCCATCAGCTCACTGGCAATGCTCCTCCTAAGGCAACCCAGGAGGCTGTTGGCCTTCTTTCTCACAAGGGTTCATTGCTGGCTCATGTGCAACTTAGCATCCACCAGGACCCCTAAGTCCTCTGCAAATCCACTTTCCATCTCTTTGGTCTCAGGCTGTACTGGTGTATTCCTCCCATCCTGGTAAAGTCTCTGCTGGATCCTCTCCTGTCTTTCAACATTCCCCAGATCAGCGTGGTTCCAAACCGGACACCTCACCAGTGATGAATCAGTGGAGGTAATAACTCCCCTCCATCTGCTGACCACGAATCTCCTAATGTAGCACAGTATGTACTTTGCCCTGTCTGCAGTGCACGCTGCTTGCTGGTTCTTTTCCAGCCCAAGATCCATCATAACACCCATGTCCTTTTCAGTAGAGCAGTTCCCAGCCTGTACTGGTGAATGGGATCATGGGATATGGCCAGACAGGCTTCAGTGGAGGACCAAGTGACCGAAGTGTGGGTGCTTTCCTGCCCCTTCTCACTTTGGAGGGAGCTGGGAATTAAATAAGTTTGGTAAATGGTCAATGTTCAAGATCAAGAGTCCTCATGGGATGTTACAGCCTAGTCATGGTTATTCTGCATGGTTCATTCAAGCCAGGTGAGCATGAAGCAGAACATTTGTTGAGGAAAAGCAGAGATTAGGACTGAGAATTTCGAAAACCAGGTGTGAAGTTCCCTCTGGAAATTCTCGGAGAAGTGACTTTGCCGTCATGATTGAGCTTAGGCCTGTTGGCCTGGAGTCTGGTGATAGCTCTAAGTTTCTTCTTGCCTCTCATCTAGTCTATGGAAGTGATATGAAAGAAAAAGCTGGGGTTTAATATCCTTGAGCTTGGAAGGATATTTATGTTCAAATGGCACTTTTTTTCTGTTTAGGTAGCCACTCAACCCCAAGTAGTTGAATTGTCCATTGGAATCATAAAGCTGTCCTTTGATCAAACCCAGTTTCAGATCACGCTGTAAGACTGGCACCCTGAAGCCTGGGGTCAGACCACCAAAGAACTGCTGGGCAAAGAGGAGCAGTCCTAACTCGTGTCCACTTTTGCACTTAGGCCATCTCCAGCAGCAACCGGATGTTGGAACATCTTGTGTTTCGGGAATGACCAGATTATCTCACCCTGCACTGATCTCTGGTGGCAGCCAAATAGCACACATGGTGATATTATTTTGTCTGGGTCTGACTGAGCCTGCAGACTCCTGGGGGAGAGTTTGTCTCTTTATGTTTTGTCCTGAGCCCTCTCTCAGGGAATAACAGGAAAAGCTGGACCCAAGACTGGCTGAAGGCAGCAGATTTGCAAAGTCTGGCACCTGAGGAAGGTGCATGGGGAGGATGCAGAACGCTGGCCCATTTTCTAATGATTTTCTAATAGTCTCACCCTCTGATCGTCTCTGTTTGCTTTGCTCTTTAATTACAAAAACAAACTGAAAGGAGCAGATGCCTGGATCTGCTCCCAGATTTCTCTTTGCAGATGCTGTCAAGAAGAGCACCGTGAAAGCCACTGCACTAGTGCAAAGCAAGAAAACAAGACTTTGTTGCCCCTTGAGTGCAGCGCAAGCTTGTATATCTGTGTTCATACAGAGAGTTGAGCAAGGGGAGAAGACAAAGTCACCCATCCCATCCCTTAGCGTGCCCTGAGTTGCGTATGCATTTGTCCTCTTATTGTAATTCTAAGGCACTGGCCGTTTTCTATGACTTTACAGCTTTTTAGTAGCTTGCCTCTGCTGGGAGATTTTTCTTCAGGCTCAGATCCTTTCTCACCAGCACCTGATATTCATCTCACATTTTCCCTTTCCTGCCTCAGTGAAATTGGTAACTCAAAATGCGTTCAAATGTTCCTGATCCTCACAAATGCTACTGAGGTACGTAAGGCACTTTACAGACTAAGAGACAAAGATCCCCTGGGTACTGTCCATACACAGAAATTAAAATCATCAGCACATGCAGAGTGATGATTTACATAGCCACCTCTTCCACTGAGCCCCATGTGCAGGGAAATAAACTCCAAATATAGTAAACAGCTAAAAAAACAGGTAGCATTTTGCTTGCCAAATTGAATATGCAAGGGAGGAGCTGAATTAGAGTTTGTGTCTTTTCCCAGTCCGTCGCTGCCCTGTCTGAACTCAAAATCCAAGCAACTACAAGAAAGCAGTCCCAACAAATTTAATTAATCCTGAAGACTTCCTCACTGACAGGCCGTGGAAAAGCTGCCTCTCGGGCTGCAGTGGGAAAAGTCTTCCTCTAATCAAATTGTTAACGATGGATGTTTGGGTGAATGGCCTTTTCCTTTCTTTGTGGGACTGCCCTCATCTCATGGCTCACAAGCAGAGGGGACAGAGAGCTGTGCTGGCAGAGCAGCAGCATTCCTTGGAGTGCTTTTAATGAGATGGAGCTGGACCAAACCCCCGGTTAACAGCTACTAAGTATTTTTCCATCGTGGGTCTCCAAGCTCTTGACAAAGGTACGTCGCCCCATTCTGCAGGAGGCCGAGCGAGGTGCAGAATGGCAGCGTGACCTTGCATCTGAGGAAAAACAAACATTTCCAATGATTTCCAATTCTGCACGCCTCCACCCGGACAAAATTACACCAACCAGGTCTCTCTCTGCTGTCAGAAATACTCATACAGGTGTTAAAGTGAGTCACTTCAGCGACCCATCACCATGGAGTGGTGGCATAGCGCGGCCAGTGGGGGTCATGGCTAAAGACATGAGAAGCTTTGCAGCCTCAGCAAACCTTTATTTTGCTATTTTTCATACTATTTATTGCTTGTGGCTCTGCCACCAGCTCATGCGCCGCTATAAGAACCACTTATTGCTTACAGAGTAAAGAGCCCTTGTGCTGACCCCCTTCCTAAAATCTTCAAAGAGTTTGGAGCTCAGCTGCCTTCATGCCTAATTTAGCTCTCCACCCCCCCCCAGATTTCCATACAATCCCTGTTTCTGGGAGCTGCCAGTCTGCAAAGCCCAAGATGGGCAAACACGCATCCTTCTGAGTGCTCTCTGACCGCCCCGGTTGGCCTATGCTGTTATATTATACCTCTCAGGCTGGATTTTGTCTGTCTGTCTGTCTGGGAGAACGTGGGTAGCATTTCCTTAAAAGTCCAGCAGGCATCTGGGTAGAAATGGGATAAGGGGAGGGACGGAGACTGGAAG